AATGAGAAAATGCCATATGTCATTGTAATGCACTATATAATGCGCGTTCAACAACGCCAACACTAAGCCTAGTAAATTTTTTTAGGCACTGAGGGGCATTGAGCAGTGAGGGATCTTTTTCGTGTCAGTACCTACTTCGACACGGGACCTCGGTCTATACTGTACGGTAAAATATATGGAGATATATTTACGGTCTTTTCCGAAGGACAGGGATCCGTTTTAAAAAAGAAAAAATATGACTAAGTCCAAAAGCTTGAACTATTTAAAAATTTTGCAAAACTGATGATTCAGTTTAAAATTACCAGCGTAAAAATATATATCTATATTCCTTTCAGGAAGCTTCAAATCATTTTCAATAAAATAATATAGATTAGAAAATTACCGGTATAGACTTAACATAAAAAAATATTGGTATTAGTCGTAAGTTCTTTGGTAAAAGGGGTCCCTGGTCTCCACGTTCCACAGTGGGATTCGAACCCGCGTCGTAAGGATCATCTCCTTACTCCGCGACTTTAGAGCAGACGCTCTTCCACTTCGCCAAGTATGTGACTAAAACACACGTTAACAATGACAGTGCTCACACCAACCCTTCAACAGTTATGGTGGTGGTTTAAGGATTTCCGAATTTAGTTACAAACACACATTTATACCCATTATTTTGCCCCCGAAAATTCAATTCCGAATAAAATAAATAAATTTTATATTGAATAAAATCCCAGACAAAATGTAAAAAAAAATATTAAGACATATATTATAATAGTGTTTGTTAGGAAAGATTTGAAGACATTTAAATGATTTGACGAAGAATACTACCGTAAACGTTAAAATGAATTTAATCTGCAATTTCTTCTGATACGTATACATTAGAAATAAGAACATTGTGTTTTAGGCATTTTTACGAGTAGTTTTAAAGGTTTTCTATTACTTACTCTGACTACAGCGATGACCTTTAAATCCGGGTTTACACTCAAAACAGTTCCCTGAAGAAATATTACATCTTTGCTCGAGGCAGTTTTCTGGACAAAAGTGGACACAATACTGGCCATAGTACTTAGATTCAGGGCATCCTGTTTAGTACCATGAAAATATTAAATGTCTCCCTCTAAAAAATGTTACAAAGGTTTAATACAATTATAGTTTATCGTGTAAAACGTACCGCAATATTTAAACTCACCGTACACCTCCAATTCACACAATTCATTATATGCATATTGAGAATAGTAACTTGGATACGTCACGCCCGGCTTCCGTTCATTGTAATATATAACATATCGCCCGTCATAAGGACAGCTGATTGTCTGGTTCTCTGTTGGTGCACCACTTTCTTGTTGCATTTCATGAAAACAGAGACGACCACTGTCTTTATTGGTATTGTTTGAAATGTAGACATAAAATCCAGCAAGTCGGTTGTAGTATGCTCCAGGACCTAGGAAAATAAATGTGTTGATGTTTAAGTTTTCAAATTTCTTATTTTATTCATGAAAAATCCGCCTGATAATTGATTTCCTGTAACATAAAACGATCAATATGAAACAATTGAAATATTTCCATGCATAACTGAAGAGGTATAAGGGAATGCTTCGAGATTGTGATGACTTTTCAAATTTGAATATCGAAAATTGTTTATCAATATTGAAATATTAAACTGTGTTTAAGCTCAGACAACCATTGTTTAAATTGACAACATATTAACCGCGAATCTAAACACGATTCGTCATAAAACTGCATTCCATATTCGATGGGTCTTTGTAATTGTCAATGGTGTTGACGGATAAACGCTGTATAGCACTTGGTAGCGAGAAAAAATGACTGTTTATTTCTAAAGCGGGAAAGTAAGATGCCAAAGAAACTTACAACAGTTGCAGTGATCAGTGCAATATACAAACAAACACAATTAAGCAATGAATCATTACTTTTTGAAAGATTTACTTTCAAAACTGCAACGGTGTGTGCAAACAAATTGAGCAACGCGCGTCAGCGTCAAAATTTGTTTGCACACACCGTTGCAGTTATAAGACTATATGTTTTAATAGTAATGATTCATTGCTTATATTTACATTTTATAACTCTACCTTAACTGCAAATGTTATTTATATTTAAAAACATATGTATTATCCTTCGTGTAAGCTAGCTACAGTACATGTATATGGAAACAGGAAACGTTAAAATTTCTGGTCAATATGAGCGTGATTTTTTTTTGCTTATTTTTTTTTTCACTTTCTCAGCGTTCAACAATTGTGAAGTAAAACTAAAATGCACTTTTAACCTTTTGGCACCCTGTCCTTGTTATGATGTTTTGAATGCATACATTTCCATTCACTTTATATGCAAAAAACATAAGTAATATAAACATATGCATGCAACTGCAATTAAAATATACAAAACAAAGGTAATGCAAGATAACAAGTACGAAACAGGTCGTCATTCCACGCTGATACATGTACTAATGAAAATTAATCTGTCAGGAGTAACAAATTGAATTTACCCCCATGTTTGCATCGTAGATGGAGTTATCAAAACATGGTATGAAACGTCAGTCAACATTCCGGTTAAGGTCATTTAATTTATACAAAATTTGATTAACATATATAAATGAATGGGACTGGGCAACAGGAAAAGCCTATTTAAGCCCTCTCCTTAATAAATCAAGTGCCTGTTAAAGTGAAAATAATCAGTACGTCGCAATCAGTAGTAAAAATTTACTTGGTAAAAACGTCAAATAATTTCAATTTTAACAATCTTTGAACCTTAATTATTTTGTATACATTGTATAATAAATCTGAGCTAAAAAGGATTCATTAGATTTCCTATTCAAAGTTTAATAAAGCGGCCACATATAGATAATAATTACAGAAAAATTCCTGAAACACATTTGATAAAAATTAATTTCATACTTGCAACATTATTAGTCCTATAATAGATATGGATGTGACTAATGCTGACGATTTTCTGTAGATCAACTCTCCACTCTGCTGTTGTTTTTTGAGCGCCTGATATTGTACACTGTTCTCCATCAGCTCCACGGTCAGAATATCTCCCGTCCACTGCTTTCCCTGCTCCCCATGCTACAGGTTTATTTGGCCAATTGTGTTGCTGCCAGGCAGGTCTCCCAAAGGCTAAATTCACTTGTAAACAAAATGACAGAGAGTTCAATTGTCCTTTAATATAGTTCTATGTTTTTTATGACGATTAATTTTTGAAAGTATTGATAACATAAAGTGAAGATATTATACAAAGAAACGAAACGCTTTATAACATTTTATGTAACTTACAATAACTACAGTGCAGCCCTTGATACCCTGAAAGACAACCTTTCACACAGTTTCCAGTTATTGCGTCACACTGCTGTCCCTGACAATTGACTGGACATGTTTGATTACAATATCCACCATAATATCCAGGAGTTGTACAACCTATATAAGAAATATAAGAAATACATATGATAAGTAACTACTTCGTATTTCATTTAATTTGTAGCTTGTCCATATCTAATTACCAAAGAATCAGAGAAAGCAACATATCGTCCAGGAAAATTCGCATACATCATGTAGAATGTAAATTACAATCTGTTTCTCTGACTATTACACCTTACCATACACCTCCACTTCACAAAGTTCATTGAATGCAAACTGAGAGTAGTAGGAAGGATAGACCACACCGCTAAGACGTTCGTTGTAGTATATAACATATTGTCCATACACGAAACAGTTGATCCTTTGATCTTGTAGAGGTGTACCGCTAACAGTCTGTAATTCATGGAAACAGAGTATTCCGTTCTCTTTTGACGTCGTGTTGGAAACATATAGGTAAAATCCAGCAAATCGAAAAGCGTACGAACCTGCATTTAAAGGTACAAATTCAGTATCATATATCCTTGAATCTTTTTGAGCCAATACTATAGCATTTCTTTTTTTGATATGAGCACCCATCTAATTTCACACATACCAGGATTATTATCCGTCCTGTAGAAGATGTTGATGTAACTGATGCTGACAACACTTTCTAGATCCACTCTCCATTCTGCTGTCTGTTGTCTGTTTGCTGATATTGTACACTGGTCACCTGTTGCTCCACGGTCAGTATACTTCCCATCCACAGCCTTGTCTGCTCCCCACGGCAGGGAATCTGAATAATTTTTCATCTGCCAGCCAGGTTTCCCTAATGCTAAATTTTCTATTAAAAAACAATAAATCTTTCCATTTTCATTTATTTAATATATAAGCATGTAGTTTTTCATATATATTTTATGCAATAATTTCTATATGACATATAGATGTATATGAAGGTATATGTGTGTATTTTTAACGTGTAGTTATAACATACTCTTTCTCCCAATTTGATTTCATTTTTTTTAATTTTATAAGTTTAATCACCGTTTTTTTTAATCAAAAATTGCTCGTAGTGATACATGCACCAGAATGGTCATTTAATATTATCTATGCTATAGTTATGTCACATCTTAGATTTAAGGTAGATTTTAAAAAAAAAGTATTTTCTCTATTGCAGTAACTAGGGTATTATTGAAGATGTTTTGAACATAAAATCAAGAAAAAATCAAGAAAGTATATTTTAGCAGTTATAAGCAAAACTTAGATAATTTGATATTTTCCTTACGATATGCACAAGTACACGTTGCATACATGAGGACGTAGATAACACTGAGTATCATTCTCTTCATTCTACAAAAATTATAATTAAATTTATAAAAATGTGTTTGTGAAACACTGATGCCCCCGTATGGCAACATAGCGAAGGTTTAGCTTTCTCTAATGCTGATCAAATATGTTGGTACCTTAAGTAAGGCCTTTTCAGAAGAAAAACATATGTGAAATAAAAAAAACCCAAGCACCACCTGTTCAAGGGTTATGATCAAGGTTAACATTTTTAAAGGAAGGACAAACTCTGGGTCAAGGTCAAAGGGTCAAGGTTGTAGGTTTCTAAAGAAACAGGCCTTGTCTCAAAGATTACATATGGTAAGTATAAAAGCGCTGGCCATTACTGTTCAAAAGTTATGGCCAAGGTAAAAATTTGTAAAAATAAGGTCAAACGCCAAGGTCAAGGTCAAAGTTGTTTATATCCATTAAAAGGTCTTCTCACAAGAATTACACATTTGAAGTACGAAAGTCCTAGCCCTTGCTGTTCAAAAGTTATGACCAAGGTTAAAGTTTTTTTTTGTAAGTACGTAATTCTCCAAGGTCAAGGTCAAAATTCTTGGTTTCCAATGAAAGGTCTTGCTAAAAGGAAGTGATATTTGAAAAATGAAATTCCTAGTATCTACAGTTTAATAATTAGGGCCAAAGTAAAAATTTGCAATTTATGTGTAAAGGTCTAATTCTAAGGTCAAGGTCAAGGTTTTTAGTATCAAATGAGAGGTCTTGTCACAAAGATTATATATTTTAAGTATGAAAGCCCTAATACTAATCCTTAAAAATTATGGTCAAGGTTGTATTTTTAAAGTAGGTTAAACTCCAAGGTCAAAGGGTCAAGGTTCTTGGTATTTAATGAAGCGACTTCTCACACGAATTACATACGTGAAGTATGAAAGCCCTACCTCTTTCTGCTTAAAAGTTATAGCCAAGGTTAAAGTTTTTTAATAAGTACAGAAATCTCTAAGGTCTTGGTCAAAAGGTCAAGGTTGCTGGTATCGAATAAAAAGTCTACTCACAAAGAATACACAAATAAGTATAAATGCCCTGGTATTAACTATTCAAAAGATTTGGTCAAAGTATGGTCAAAGTAAAAGTTCAAAATTTTTGTTTAAAAGTGGGTCAAACTCCAAGGTCAAGGTCAAATTTGGTGGTACCCAAAGAAAGATCTTGTCACAAAGAATACACATGTGAAATATGAATTCCATAGCTCCACTAAATCAAAAGATATGAACAAGGTTAAAGTTTTTTTCGGACAAACAGATAAACAGAAAGACAGAGAGACAGACAGACAGATGGACACGACAAAATTTATATACCCCAAGACTTCGTTTACGGGGGCATAAAAATGACAAATATCAATTTATTATTTAATATCAACATAACACTAACAAATAAATTATAATTTCTTCCTTGGAAGTTGGAAGTTCCTTGCAGGTTCACGAAGGAAATATGGCTAAATATATGATGTACTACTCGGCATAAAACAACAATAACCTGTCCTAAGAGATGCTATCTTTAGACAGTTGCTTAAGTCGTAAGTCTTTAAGAGAACCTTAACTTCGATATTCCTAAGAAGTCATCGTTTCTTAGTGTTTTGAGGTTCACTTTTTGCTGCAGAACTGTAGCTCTCTGCTTGAGAAAATTTGAACAGTTAAAGCAGGGAACTAAAAACCTTCGATTTACGCTGCCGAGTTCGTGTCGCTAACTTAAAGTATTATTCCTTGTTGTTTATGCTTTCTCTGGCTTTTAGAATGGTATTCGATAATTAATCATCGATTTAACTCTTATTTATTTATTCTTTTTTTTACCTTTTAACTGTCCAAAACAGTCCCGTTTATAGTATTGTAATGTCGGATTAAACGAATCCCAATTCGACGTCCTGTAACAAATACCCTTTTAATAGCTTTTTAAGGTAAGTTAATTTTCGGGAATTGGAGTTAAATGTATGACTTATTATTGAATACAATTTTTAAGGTTGGTAAAGTATAAATTCGAGAAATAATACCCAGAGTAAGAAAAAAAAAATCGAAGATTTTTACAACGCTTCTGTATCTGTAGCTCTCTGCTTTATTGACCGAATTTTCTCAAGCAGAGAGCTACAGTTCTGCAGCTAGTTCGCTTTGTGATTGGGAGGCTAGTGTTCGTTTGTTTCCTGTTAGCAGCTCTTCTTTAAACCTTATACTATGGGAGGGGGTGATCTTGGCTGTTTGGTGAAAAAGTCGAAATCTTTTAGATTAGACCTTAAATGAATCTTTTTGGCTCACTGGTTCAGGGTAGTTAAAGTGTAAATCTGAATCCTTCACCAATAATTGGTGTCGTTCCGTATAATTTGGAAACTGTTACATGTAAACTAGACGTAAACAACATATAATCTACCAAATAGTTAGTAAATATACCCGGTATAGTCTTACCACAGTAATTTTAATTTTACACAATATGGAGTCTATCTTTATATTTTCTGTTTTTCCATTGTCATTAACACACATGTAAAACACAGATAAAAGCTTTAACTTGAACAGTGACTTTATGTAAACAGTTTAACGCTTGCATTGAATAAAAAATATGAATATTTTAAAGGTCAGTTTAAAAGTCTCGTATATAGCAATGCATGTCTGGGAAAAGAATACGATTCTAAAGTCGATAAACTGTATTATTTTTTTTAATCTGAAATTTACAACATTAAAACTACAGCATTATTTAAACAAATGCATGTTAATCTTACCCTAGAATGCATACATCTCGTCGGCAGATTTCAGTTTTTGTCAAGTTTTAAACCAGGAAGTTAATTGACAGTAGGCATAGTTTTACATCTTAACGTCTTCATATAAATGCCTCTCCAGGGCTGAGCGCTTGACAGCTTCTAATTCAAAGAGAACCAATTAAGGGTTATTTGAGTAAATTTTAAAATTATGATGGAGAAAATTTTAAGTCAACTGCATTTAGGTCAACACAGTTAATACTGTAATTTCAACCCCCTGTTAGACATGTAAACCTGTGAGTAAAAACACAGACTGATTATTATTCAAATTAGCATCTATTTGTGTATACAAAATAGATGCCTTTATTTTACGAGAAAAGTATATTTGAAGGGACCTATATCCTAGTTTATAGGTCCCAAGTATTTGTTATTTGAACGTTGGCTTTTAAGGGTCGGGTTCGGTTGACACATCAAGTGTAGTATATAAAAGGTCGGGATTGTTATTCACATTCCTTTCTCCTGAACCTTCACTCTCTACCATCGGCTCATACATTCACCTCTGTCGTTGGCTCGCGTATATCACAGTGATAAACACGAGAAATAGTGCGTTTGTTTTAATTCATTATATTTCAATTTCTATGCTTATGTCTGAGTTTCGAGATAGATATTTACTAAATAAATCCAGAACTATTAATTTAATTTGAAATAATCCTGCAAATATCACGTTTTATATGTTATGTCAAAAATCTTGACGTGAGCCCATTGCAGAGGTGTCTGAGAGAGGAACGAACGACAACTCTGCATGGGAGATTGCTGAACCTTTCGAAGGTAAAGACGCATAACAATTGATTGCAATAAAATACATGAAATGTTGTTTTGTAACTTTAAAAACCCGCCCTCCCACTACCTTTTTTAGAATGTTCCCTTTTTCGCTAAGTAAAGAATGAGGTTCTGCTGCTGGTTTTTTGCTTTATTTTGTAGTGAAACAGCTTTGATCTGCACATCCGAGATGAATACCTTATACCCATAGAAAAAATATCCCGGTGCTGTCTAAGGAAAAGTTAAAGTGAAGAATATACCACATGATGCCTACATCAAGTCCATTGCCAGCTTTTAGGATTGTGCTAAACATGCATTAAACTGTCTCTGTGCAATATGCGTACCGAATAGTGTTGCCAAATTGTAAAACTTTCTATCGTTTATAAAATCGAATCGGTAGCATATAGTCGATCATAGGATTGTTATTTTGAACTAAAAGAAACCGTCGTGGCACTTTTTCAAGGAGAAGTCATTAGTGTGAAGCGTCTGCGCACACCAAGTCAACTGACAACTGAACGTTTGTGTGAAACTTGTAATAAACTGTCACCTTGTTGAAATGCTAATGCTAGTGTAAACTAAGCTAATAAGCTTACTCTTGGTGACAGTAATATATACTTTAGAACTGTACTACATCGTACAGGTTTGAAATATGAAAAATGTTGATATTTGAAGTTTGAGATGTTTGATCTATAAAGTTTGAGATATTAATGATATTTGATATGCAAGATTTGATAAAATAAGTTGATATGCTTGATATTGGAATTTGAGATATGACATATTGATTGATTGATTTGATTGATTTGATTGATTGATTGATTGATTGATTGATTTGAACAATTTGTATGTGTGCTGACCCTCCGCGGTTAACCCGGGATGGTTAGAAAAAAGAAACACACATTGTTGATCTTTGAATTTGGTGGGTTTGCCCAATTGGAATGGCATCCCACAATTTTGTATTGTGCCACGGCCAATATACGCCACAATAAATAAGTATAAATTCTATATTGAGTTTTGTGTCAATTTTCTCTGTATAAATAATTATTTCACAAAAACTAATTGCAAACGCGTATTTTTGGGAAGCCTTTTAAAATAAAAAAAAATGCTTGAGTAAATATTGTTGAACATTTAGGGGTTTTACGTAATATATATGAGGAAGTAGCTAGGATGCCAGAAAACACATGTATGATTTGAAATTTAGGCAGTACTTGTAAATCACAGTGAATTGTTATTACGTTTACTTACATGTATAATGTATGATTGAAAATTAAAGTTTTAAATGTTCAAGTGTTAGAGCAATGTAAAATCAAAGTACTGAAAGTACTGAAAAGCGGTTAGCATGCTTTCATCGAATATGTACAGTGTACAATAACAAAAAATGCATTGAATGATGATATTAAAGTAGGCATGCATATCTTTTTCCAGTGTCATCAGCGAAGAAGCAGACACACTGAATTTTGTAGTACTTAACTAAATGGTATAACCAATAACATCCCAGGCTGATGTCACAAATGTT